CAGAGCGCTGGTCGTAGTGGCCATTTGGGGGCTGAACCAACGGAAGGAAGACCTTTCTCTCTGTCTCTCTCTCTCTCACTGTCTAACTCTGCCTGTAAAAAAAAAGAAAGAAAGAAGATAAGGCAAGTGTAATTAAAAATCCAATAGTGGAAATGAATTCAGATTTCCTAGTATTTAAAGGAAATTAAACAAATATGAGGGCCCTTCAGAGAAATCATGGAAATTGAATTTTTTTTTTTTTTTTGACAGGCAGAGCCCTCCACTGGCTGCTGCTGCTGGTCCACCACGCTGATCCGATGGCAGGAGCCGGGTACTTATCCTGGTCTCCCATGGGGTGCAGGGCCCAAGCACTTGGGCCATCCTCCACTGCACTCCCTGGCCACAGCAGAGAGCTGGCCTGGAAGAGGGGCAACCGGGACTAGAACCCGGTGTGCCGACGCCGCAAGGCGGAGGATTAGCCTAGTGAGCCGTGGCGCCGACCCCGGAAATTGAATTAAAAAGTTTATCTTGGTGTAGGAAACTTTTGAAATTCATGCACAGTTTTTTCATAATACACATTTTCATTAAGATTTTGAAGATCTTTTATATGTACAGGTTTCATAAATGTTGTACCAAAATCAATTTATCTTTTAATTATTTTTTCCATGAGCTTTCTGAAATTAGCATATATGAGCTTCCTTAATATTTCTCCCAGAAAAGTAAGCAAAACAGAGATCACTGAACTGAAACAGGAAAAACTTCAAAATTTCATATGACTCAAATCAAAATTGTGAAGTAAATGAGTTTTCCTTCAGTCTTCAGTCCCCTCTACAGTTACACTGGGGAATTCTAATCATCTTTATGCCGAGCATTGTTTCTGACACTCTGTAAGAACACAGACTTTCTCGGTCTGTCCTTACCCATGTGTCCAAGATAATGCTTAAGTCAGATTTCTCATCCCCTATGGTATGTACAAATACAGGACACATCTTTGATTTTCCTAATGATGGAAATTTTATACTGCAGCAAAGAAAGGAGTAGTTGTTTCACATCGTATCAAAGACCCAATGGCAATTAAGTATTTTCTATTCCAAGTGCAGAAGAGTTTAAGAATTACAAATATATGCTCAGACAGTGACTTAGTAGATGTTTAAGTTTATTTTAAGGGTATTAGATTAACCCTCTGCTGAAGTGTGTTATGTTACAACTGAGTTTCAGAGCCCACAGAATACATTTCCCAGACTCTAATTATCAGACATTGTTAAGCTTCTATTTAGCAATTGATTTGCTTTTACTTTTGTATGCTCTAAATCATTTATCTGTTAAATGTTCTCTTTTGCGTTATTTATGAAAAATCTCAAAACCATGTGTTCAGCTATCATTATCAAGTGAGTGTACCTTAGAACGTACAGTTTCAACCCTAAATACATCCCAGATTTTATCTTGCTGTTTAGTGTTTTTTTTTCTCACTGTCCTTATTGCATCATTTTGTCTTACTTTATATTTTGATAGGTAAAATTAACTTCTGGGATCAGCTAATTGTAACTGTAGATATGTATTCACACATATCAACACAGACATGTGTTCACAGACATATTCCTAAATGTACATTTACATATATCCATACTTATAAATGAATCATTATGCAGATAAAAATATATGCTTGACCATTAATAGAGATTATATCCATTTTAAGAACCTTACATATACTGGTAGCTTCTTTTCCTTCCCCATTTGTGGAAAACACCTGTCATTCTGGGTTTCCTTGTGTCCTTTGTGGCATAGGTTGGATAATCTAGGAAGTGGACTCTCTTCTCTGTTGGTGTGGAGCCAGCCAACTAGAGTAAAATTAGCTAACTTAGGGATCACTTGAAGTCAGTGATGATCTTACAGCTCCCTGCTTTGTGTCACTGAATGGTTAACTTCATGTTTAGGCTCAACTCAGTGTCAAGTTGCTACGTTCCCCAATCCAACTTCTATGGACCTGTTTTGGTTGCTCTGCATTTTTATTTCTCATCCTAAATTTATTTTTGTTATTAAATCCTATCTCTGTCATGGCTGTGACTGCAGTTACAATGGTCAGAGGTGAATTGTAAGGAAATGTTGTTCAAAAAAGATCAAAGCACAAATATATTAAGAGGTATTTTTTAGATGCACCATGTCAAGCGTCATATCAGGTATTTATATTCTAGAAGACTACTCACTTAATTCTTTTTTTTTTATTTTATTTTAATTTTTTGACAGGCAGAGTGGACAGTGAGAGAGAGAGACAGAGGGAAAGGTCTTCCTTTTGCCGTTGGTTCACCCTCCAATGGCCGCCGCGGCCAGCGCGCTGCGGCTGGCGCACTGCGCTGATCCGATGGCAGGAGCCAGGAGCCAGGTGCTTTTCCTGGTCTCCCATGGGGTGCAGGGCCCAAGCACCTGGGCCATCCTCCACTGCACTCCCTGGCCACAGCAGAGGGCTGGCCTGGAAGAGGGGCAACCGGGACAGAATCCGGCGCCCCGACCGGGACTAGAACCCGGTGTGCCGGCGCCGCTAGGCGGAGGATTAGCCTAGACTTAATTCTAACTAGTAGGTTTGAATGACAGTTATTACAGGAAGATGAGAGCATCCAAAGATCTTGTACCAAATTCTCCTGGAAATTAGTTCATGACCATGGGCAAGGAAAAGGATGCCTGCCTCAACCACCTCATAGAATTTTGTGAAAATGCAATGAAATTATTTTGTGAAAGTGTTCTAGACTGTTCAGATATATAGAGTTAGTAATTATTCTTCATTTTTTGTCAGTGAACATGTTTTACTTCTCTTGATCTTAACTGGTGTGTGAGTATATTTAACATCCCATTTTACATATTGTTTTAAAGTGTCTGAAGTTTTGTCAACCAGCTTTGTCATGATTATAACAAACTGATTGAGGGTTTTAAAAAGTGATCCTGATGGTGTTCTTTTGATCACTGTAGTCCCATAGAGGTGGGCTTCTAATTGGAATCACTTCCTCTGTAGGTATTGAGAGATGAGCTATGGAATGCCAATCTTTAAAGAACACATACGTGTGCTATAGGAGTTTTGTCCAAATCTATCCCCTCTGTTGTGTCTTAAAACAATAGCAAATCACTAGGTGACACTAGGAGAAGCCTGCTTTGTTAATTTAATCATGTGCTTCTCTTCACTACAGTCCCTCTCATGCCAAGAAAATCACCCAGGTAGACTCTTTACAGGTTGTGGGTGGCAAGACACAGGCTGCTCTCACAAAGGAGACTCTTCTCAAAGACGACAGACGGAGTGTGGCATGGCCATGCTGTTTGTAGCAGTCACCAGAACTCTATAATGTCAAATCTTTTGCTTTTATGATATTTGTAAATTGAAGATATTCCAGAGTAGGCTTTTCCCCTTGCCCAACCTCCCACTAAGTTTTTTAAAATGTTTAAAATGATGGCTCCATGGATAGGCATTTTGCCTTGCAGTGGCGTTGCTGCTTGGGATGCCTTTGTCCTGTATCACAGTGCCTGAATTGCAGTCCCAGCTCCACTCCTGATTACAGCTTCCTGCTATTGTGCACACTGGAAGACAGCAGATGATGGCTTGCTCAAGTGGAGACTTGGATTGATTTCCCAGATTCTTCCAGCTTTGGTCTGGAACCCAGCTATTCTGGGCATTTGGATAGTAACCCATTGGATAGGAGATTTCTCCCTCTCCCTCTCCCTCTCCCTCTCCCTCTCCCTCTGCCTGCCTCTCTCTCTCTCTCTCCCTCTCCCTCTCTCCCTTCCTCCCTCCCTCCCTCTCTCTCCCCCCTCCTCCTACTCTCTGTCTCTATTTGTCCTTCAAATTAAAATAAAGAAATAAAATGATGAGTCCTCTTCGTTCTAATAGGTTACTACTATCATCTGGAATAAAATTTATTAAATCTTTACAGGACCATCATGAGTTAAGCCAGATGAATATTATCAAACACTCAAACACTAACTGTGATCTGTTCTGCATCAAACATAAGCAAACATTCCAAAGTCATACAAGGTCAGAAGCAGAATGAGATCAGTACTTTGCAACATTTAATTTGTTGTTCTTTCTTTAATTCATTTAGCCATCAAGTGAGCCTCCACCGAATTGTTTTGTCATTTAGAATAGAAAATAAATCTACTTGGGGAAAACATAATGGGAGAAAGATTAATTGAGAGCATTTCCTTTAAAATGGTAAAGCAGTAGAATTCATAGAATTCACAATGATCCGCGGTTCTTCAGAGAGTCGTACTATGTCGGTCTTGGGGCACGCATTCATGCATGAGAAATGTCTCTCAGCAGCAAGGAGCTGAATGTGTTACTGAAAGCTGAAGCCCGCGCATGGTTCTGTGCTGGTTCTTGACTTGGTGTTCAACTCTGTTACTTCAATGCCCGATTAGAAATATGTTCAAAGAGAAAGATAAATTTTGGATCATGCTAGAAGGTATGAAATGGCAAGGTTGTGTTGGTAGGTTCTTTCAGTTTCTCCCAAAAGCTTTCCTTAGGATTCCATCTAAGTGACATGTGCCTGAAAACCCACATGGAGCAGCTGCATACATTCAAAAGTAGCAGCCCTGGCAGGAGGGACCCCTGCCAACACACTCCCATCATCACCTGCTCCTCTATATTGAGACTTCCCAAATGCGTAAGAATTCTGTGGATTGCTTCACATTCAGAGGAGTTTGAGTGTGTGAGACTGGTGTGCCTGACTTAGGAATTCCCTAAAAAGCAGTTGACATTCCCCCTTGCCACCGATGATCACAGACCCAGAACAGTCAAAAGTCAGTTAATAACATGTCACGAGGCTACTGCTCTCCACTGGGCTATTTTCACATCTGCAAAAATAGCAATGTCATTTCATCCTCGATTGGCCAGACCCTAATCTCTGTCTGTGAGACAAGAATGACCAGCCTGTGTACCCCTTTGTCACAGCAGTGCTGGAGAAGAGAAATGAAAGCATGCTGCTAATGACTTTGTGTATGTGCTTCTTCCTTGTCCCCGTTGCTCCCGAACATCAACACAGCTTCAGCCCGACATGCCATTTAGACCGGAGTCTTGGACTCGTCTGTGACGCGTGCCCAGTCGGCTACACAGGACCACGCTGTGAGAGGTAAGCACGTACTACACTGCCTTGCAAAATGATTTCTACCTGGGGAGTTCCAGAACCGCAGGCATTGTCATCCTTCACCCTCCCCCTGAAAAGCTGCCATGCTCAATGAGCTGAAATAAAGTTTCTCATCACACTTGTCAAATAAACGTTATTATATTTTTGTAGGTTAGTTATTCTCTACAAGTTACTCTATAAATCTTCATTCACTCAGAGGATGGCTGATTAATGTTTTAATGTTAAAGGTTAAGCGTGAACCTGCAGGCTTTCCAAAAAGTATCGCTCAGGTGGAGAGTCATGTGCTTTAAGATTTATCAAACTGTCGACATTGACATCATTTATTTTTCATAATTAGCTTTTTGTCCTTAAAATGTAGCTTAACTGTGTAGTTCATAGTTCAGAAAGTGCTACATAATTTACTTTAAACATATTTGAAAATAGAAACAACATGTAATTTATCATCACGGTTGCTGTCCTTTCCCGATTACTCCTAAGCCAGTGTGTGCATCCCTGTGGCTCTGGCCAGGTTGCCTTGTGGTAGAACCATCGATGTTACCTTGGGTAATTCATGTGATTATGTTTCCTCTGGAAATGTTTTTGAAGAAATGATTCTTCTGTGTATTCAGGCTCAGGACACAAATGGTAAAGTCTTTCCTCCCTTCCTATTATTGCCATGGGCAACATCTCCAATCCACACCCCCATTTCCCCCTACTCCCTCTCTAACAGCGGGCGGGGGGAGGTAGCACTGAAAATAGTCCTCTTCGCTGGAGTCACTGAGCGCTGGGTGAGGGAGGCAGCGGAAGTGACCTACTTTCACTCTTCCACACCCAGACTAACCCTGAAGCGAGCTATTTCTGCTGCTCCTTTCCTGGCTTCTGGGCAACAATCCCCTGGTTTCAACCTGGGTGCATAAAATACTGCAGCAGGAGCCAATCACGCAGAGAGAATCTAGCTAGCAACTAGGAGCCTGTGGGCGTGACCAGTGCCCGCGACTGTTTCTAGCAGCAACAAGTACTATTTGTGAGTATGGCAGCCTCTGGAAATTAGTTATTGAAGAAAATAACTGATATAGGGAGGATTTATGAGTATTTGCAATTGAGACTCTGGAAGTCTTTAATTGTATGTTTTTTTTTTTTTAAAGAAAGGCATGTGCATGCCTCTTATTATAATAGAAGAACATGTCATTGCCAAGGTAGATTTACATCAAATGCTGCACCCCCCAGCTCACTACAGGCAACATTTTTTTAGCAACTGGAAAATGACAGCTGCTCTGTTATACAAGGCCATTAAATTCACTCATCTAGGTGGGCAAATCTCTGATGTATTTATGTTGCTTTGCCTCACACATTATCCATTCTATATGTGTGAGATAATAGTTTCTGAACCATCTATAATTTGAAAGTTTCCATTTTATTTAACAAATATCTGTTTAGTGCATACCATGCGCTAGGTAGAGGGCTAGAAACTGCATATAAGCAGGTATATGATTCCAGCCTTGCTCCCGATCAGCTCACATCTTTCTTTAATGCAGGTGAGAGTTGTCACAGGTACTCTGAATAGAATTATAGTTGAATAATAAAAGCCACCAATGGGGAAAAAGACACCTGGCAGGAAACATGATTTCTTGTCTAAAATCTGTATTAATCTTATGCATATTCTATGTAGCAAATGGCATATTTTATCTCCACCTCAAGTTGTTCAATCAAAATAATGTTGAGTTATTATGTAGATTATATGTATTATGTATTATATAGATAAGGGAATATTACATTTTTTACTAGCCAGATTTTGAATTAGAGTTTTCCAGGAATATTTAGGATTTTTCATTTCATTGTATTTATATGAGCCAAAAGGCATTAGATGGATTCATAATATTAGCAGAAATACTTTTTGCAATGTGCATGTCCTAACAGTAGGGAAGGGGAAGACAAGGGTCAGGATTCAGAGAAGATACTGGTTGCCTGGAAAATCCTGTAATCAGAACCATTCTGTAAGTGATTTGTGTGATCAGCACATCCACGTTATCTACATAAATCAGCATATGAAAACTGAGACAGTGTTTCCCAAGTAGATATCCCTGGAATAAAGAATTCGTGATCACATGAGTTTGGGAAGTTTCCATTAGCATGTTCAAAATTATGGCATTTCTTGTAGTGTGTAGTGAAGAAATCAATTTGTTTAACTCAGCATTTCCTAAATTTAAGAGGGCATAAATCTTCTGCTTTTATTGTATAGCAAGAACATATGTGAGATTACAATTCAGATAGGAAAGAATTATAATTTATATTTTTTACCTCGATTTAATTTATACTTTGAGCCTCATTCTCTGTGTGGAGGCTATGAACATTTGGAAACATAATCTCAGCCAATTTCAAGTTTTTTCTCCACTCTCACATCCAAACTCGAGTTACAATTCTAGCAGACTTACTAGTATCAAGAGGCTTGTATGCATGAGTGTACAAATGTGAGTCATGGGGTTTGTAAACGTGTGAATTGGGAAAGTGGACATACGACGGTCCCAGCTAGTCTTGAGTAACTCATCTAAGCATGTTTCTGCTGAAGCCTTCCTTTTACCTTCTTCCTAATTACTTTCCTACAAGATTTAGCAACTCTTTTCTTTCATCCTGCTCTTGAGAGCAAAGGAATCATTCAACTTCTTTCATTCCACACTGGGGCCCACCAACATCTAGACAATCGTCACATCTCCATCTGCCTTTCCTACGCCATCCCATTTTCTGTATGGGGGAGGAGACACAACATTCGTAGATGTGATGACCTTCGGAGTCCAAATTCCAGAAGGTTCCTAGGTTTCTGCTTCTGCCCTCTGTCAGATCCCCTCACTCCAGCATGTAGTACAACATTGCCTTGCTTCTTGAGTTGAGAGAGAAGAAAAATAGTAAGAAGTTGATAAAGCAAAATACTGCAGCAAAATACAGGTTGATATTGTGCCACATGTAAAACATTCACTACTGCTTGGGAATCTTTCATTGAGGATGAAAAGCTGCCATATGTTTTAGATATCACAGCTTGGCTGGGAAATGTTTAAAACAAAAGAAAAAAAAAAGCAAGGGTAGAAGGTATTCATCACAGCACTATGTTAAGACTGGGCTTTTATCATCTGGACATAAAAAATTAGAAAAATGAGAGACAGCATCTTGAATGGCAGAAGAAATGGCTTAAGAAATCATTGTAACATCAAGAGATATTTAAAAAGAATATAAAGCTGAGCCGGCGCCGTGGCTCAATAGGCTAATCCTCCACCTTGCGGCGCCGGCACACCGGGTTCTAGTCCCGGTTGGGGTGCCGGATTCTGTCCCGGTTGCCCCTCTTCCAGGCCAGCTCTCTGCTATGGCCAGGGAGTGCAGTGGAGGATGGCCCAGGTGCTTGGGCCCTGCACCCCATGGGAGACCAGGAAAAGCACCTGGCTCCTGGCTCCTGCCAGGATCAGCGCGGTGCGCCGGCTGCAGCGGCGGCCATTGGAGGGTGAACCAACGGCAAAGGAAGACCTTTCTCTCTCTGTCTCTCTCTCTCACTGTCCACTCTGCCTGTCAAAAAAAAAAAAAAAAAAAAAAAAAAGAATATAAAGCAAAAAGTGAGTCAAATGCTGATGGCTGCTAAGTTGCTTCGCAGATGAGTCTGTAGCCTGAGAAGCAGGTCATCCACGGTGGGGAAAGGCATCTGAGAACACTGTGGCAAGTCCACCCCCGAGAACTACCGGGAAACATGAAACTTCACAGGATGCTCCGGCTCCTTAAGCTCCACCCCAAGCCCTCACCCCAAGCTGGTAAATTTTCAACAGTTTCTCTCTGGGTGAGCAGAGGTCAAAAGTGTAGACCTGATTTCACAATTACCACTGAGAATGTGAAGTCTAATTGCATAACAATTTGAAAATCCATCTACGTTTTTATCTAATTGATTCCTATTACATACCAAGGAAGGTCACTTTTGTTTTCCAAGTTTCAAATCCAAAATCTTATTTAGATATTTCTTGCTTCAATAAAGTCTGAAGCTAGCTCAAGTGTGATCACTCATGGTCACTATGCTGGTAAAACTTTCTAATCCTGAGTCTCCTTGCATGCAAGGCCCAGGGTTGCAGGAGAAATGAAAGAGACAGTTATACCTGGTTGATGGTAGTGTTGGCCAAATCCTGGCTCCAAGGGAGGTCTCAGCAGACCATTCCTGTGTGATTGTGCCATTTGGTCAGCACGTAAAGCCACATGGGGTCTTGAATGTAGCATGCCCTCCCCTTGCCAACACACCTTCCCTATTGTCCTTGGGTGCCCAGATGTACCCACCTCCCCTTCACTTTTTCTGCAAATGCCTGGAGAGGATGCTGTATTTCTGATTTGCAGAAAGGCATCCTGTAAACAGACCAACTCCCGCAGGCTTTAGCTGAGACTACTGTCATACAAAAAGTAAGAGGAACAGTGTTACAACACAGCAACACCCCTTTGTATTCCAGTTGCCCACTTGTGTGCCTTTGAATGCAGTTCCCTCTCCCTGGAAGACCACCGCCTTCCCCCTCCTCCGCCAAGGCTGACATCTCAACAGCTGTTAAAACTCAACTCTCGTCCTGAAGGGTCTTTGATTAATCCCCGTCTAGATGGTGGATTCCTTTTCTGTGTTTCCATACTGGCATTTCCAGGTGTTCTGTTCAGTGTTTCAATGTGTGTTTCCTTTCCATGTACTTCAGTCTGCAGACTGGGCCTCATTTATGTCATCATCTGGAAAAGTGCCCGGTAGTTTGTTGTTGTGTTGTCATGTGAGGTATGAGGGGAAACGCAAGAGCTTTGGTAATTGGCATAGTCTTTCATTGTTCTCAGCCTGCAGGTTATGGGCATGTGGACCATAGATTTCAGCCAAATGTTGTTGAAAAATGATGTAGAAAGACAAAAAATCCCATCAGTGCTCTTCCTTTCTTATGGTTGTTTTCTTCCACATCTGCCGCTGTCTCTCACCCCCTCCACTCTTGCCACCTCCAGGCCTCTGATGTTGTAGGAAGTCATCAGTGGCAGCCTCTCTATCACCCAGCTGCATGTGCTATCTGTAGCTTATTTGCATTTAAAGAGTCTTTTCCCAAAATACTGCTTTTGGGGTGAAGGAGGTAACAAATGTCAAAAAGAATGGTGACTTTGTTATAGTAACATGTCTCATTGCTAGCAGAGCAGCCAATAAACTTTAACAAGAAAAATGCCCCGAGGCAGATATTTGACCCAGCAGGTAAGTCCAAAGGTTAAGAAACCAGCATCCCGCATCTGGGTATCTAGGTTTGATTCCCAGGTCTGATTCATGACTCCAGCTGCCCACCAGTGTAGACCCTGGGAGGCAGAAGTGATGGTTTGTGGTGGAGTTAGGACACCTGTGTGTGAGGCCTGGGATTGAGTTCCAGGCTCCCGACATCAGCCTCAGCCCAGCTCTGGTTGGCACAGGAATTTGGGAAGTGAACCAGTGGATAGAGCTCTCACTCTCTTTCTGCCTCTTAAATAAATAAATAGATAAATAAATAAGCCGATAAATAAATAAATTCAGATGCTCTCAGTCTACCTTGCATATGAAAATGAGAGGGCCTGAGATTTCACATTGCCAGTAGCTTGGGAGAAGTGAAAATTTGAGAAGCCAAAAAGGTCCAAAGGATTGTGATCTAAATTAATATTAATTAGGTGAATCCAAGTTAATCATTCAATAAAGTGCCATTATTAGTAATAGAAGTTATATGATTAGCCATACTATAGTCTCTGACCTTAGAATTACTGTTTAATTCCTAATGAAACTTTTTATCAGTCTCTAAGACTACTGTGGGAACACACACACACACACACACACACACAGAGTAGTAAAACCTGATCATGCTGCAGGAAATGGTCCCACTTCTAACAGAGTGACATAATAATTTTTGTCATGTATACTCACAAATATCCTGCACTCTAAATAAAAGGCAGATGACTCTTTAATTATTCTATTTGATTGTACCTATTTTCTCCTTACACTGAGTTTTTTATTGTTGTGAAAGCATTTTTGACTTATTAATTGGTATCTATGTTACGAGATATCCCAAGATCTTGTTATATAATGCCATCTCTCCTGAGGGCAGTAAGTCATTTCAAGGCAAGTGAGCTGAAAATAATAGGTATTCGTTGGCTGTGATAATGATCATTTTATATTCTCATTCCGGTGGAGCAAAGTCACTCTCTTAGTGGTAAACAAAATGAGATGTGAATACATGTGGATGTGATCATAAGTCTTGAATAACAAATAGGGAAGGGAGAATCAGGTTAAAATTCGAAATAATATTATTATGTTTATTAAATAACATTCCTGAAAGGCTTTTGGAAGAATTATATGTACTAAAATACCGTTTTTATACTAAAGAGTTAATAATTATATTTGTGGATGGCAATATCCTTCCAAATATGTTAATACAACTTTCATAATTTTATAAAACATTTTATGAATATAAATAAAACTCATAACCTTATTTATTAAATTGTAAAAATTAAAATTATACAATATTACAGCACCTATAAATTTTCTAGAAAACAGAATAATCATTATGTATCTGAACCAAACAATTGAGTTTATCTCATAATTATGTTATTAAAACATCTTCAGTAGGATATACTAGACTGAAATCATTTCTATTTCAAGTAGTAGAAAGTGCGTTTTTAAACAGTGACATCTGCATCTGTGTGTAAATGAGCATAAAAGCAGCATATGATATATGATTGAGGAAATAATATTCTGGCACATTGCGTTGTTCCCTTCGGTTGTGACGCTTGCTGCAAGGCTTGTTTTGGGTGAGATGGCCTAGCTGGGTTGGCCTGACCGTCACACTTCGGATGCCTGTCTCGTTTCTCCTTTGGCAAATGTGGCTTAATGGGAAGCATGAGCACATGGAACTAAAGGATGGGACAGCAGAGTCTAATCGGCACTGCCTGTAAGGGTGTATCTGTGATTCGGGAACATGAAGGAGTGTTTGAAAACATCCCGTTTGAATCCAGGAGAATTTAAAACTGTAATATTTGTTAAATATTCTCTGCCATACCTGATAATAAGTGAAGCTTTGGATTTTTCCAATAAAATGTGAAATGGTTTCTAGTTGTTTTATTTCAAGACCTAGAGTTTGTTCATATCAGCGGTAGGCAGAGTTTAGCATCACTGTATGGCCTGTTCCCATAATAGGGAGACATCCTTGTAGATTTCCCTTTAGTGAGGCTGCCCCTTAACCTATATGCAAGTACACACAAACCTATCATTAATCCAAGTACCCACGGCCCCTGCCCAAAAGGTAAGAATCTTCTGAGTCACAATTTCCATTTAATAAATTCTGAACTCTCTCTGCTGGATTTCGTTGGGAGTCTGTTTCCCTACAACACACTATTGCAGCAACAACAACAAACGTGAACCTTACGTATTTGTAACAAAACAACCCCTTGGTGCAGAGACACATGATGTGTGGTTCTACAAAGACTTTGCAACCGGGGCCCGTGTTCCTCCCCAGTGCCGGCAGCACGTTTCTTGTTGTGTTTGGTCTTGTCTTCTGTGCAAGTGACAAGATTTTTTTATTCTCTGGCTGTAATCTAATTACTAGTGGTGCTGGCATGATTTCATTTCAAATCTGCATGCAGTAACAGGGAAGCATTTTCTTTTAATCACCTTGTGTTGGAGACAAGGAATACTTATAAGGAAAAGTCATCATCTTGGAAGAAGCAGAGTGTGAAAAATACAGAAACATTGCCCCCATGGGTTTCCCAAGTCCCTCTAAATACTCACTGGTGAAATTTGTCTCCTTAGGTGTGCAGAAGGCTATTTCGGACAACCTGCGGTACCTGGAGGATCATGTCAGCCATGCCAATGCAATGACAACCTTGACTTCTCCATCCCTGGCAGCTGTGACAGCTTGTCTGGCTCCTGTCTGATATGTAAGCCAGGTACAACAGGCCAGTACTGTGAGCGCTGTGCTGATGGATATTTTGGAGACGCAGTTGATGCAAAGAACTGTCAGCGTAAGTCCTGAACTAGTGATGCTCCTGACAGAATTGATGTATTGTACCTCAAAGTAGCTGATGAGTTCTTGAGTGGAGATGGAAGAGCAGGAAATTATCTGTAATACAAGGATGATAGATGCGCAGCACAGACACACAGTCTGCGTATCCTAAAATATTTCTTTGTACTAGCTACAAGAATAAATTCTTTGAAAATTGTTGAATTGTTGAAGTAGCACGGCTTTTCAAATAATATATACATTTCTGTTTACATGTAAGAAGAAGATTTTGAAATGATCTTACTTATGTTCATAGCAGGAAGAACTTGGGATTAAGCAAGCCCCATTCCTCCTTTCTTTTTGATCTCAAGGCCAGTAATTTGCTTAAAATAAATTTATCTGACCATGTTATTTCATTAGTACCTGTCAATTGGTGTTGACCAGTTCTGCTTTCATATTCTTGTATTTCATAATAGGTGTAAAATTGTGCCAATATTTTCTCATGCTGGCATTTATAATTGAGTGATTAACCTTTCTTTCTTTTAGGACAATTCATGCTTTTTCTGTTTTTCCCTTACACAAAATTAACTGCTCTAAGGCTTCATACATATTGATAAGGACATTCTTCCTCTGTTCTTTGCCTCCTTAGCTGTAGTATTCAGTGTTGCATAGGATTTTCCTATGCTTCATATTAATGGTAGTAAATACAAGGGGAGCCTGTTGTAGAAAGTCAAGAGGAATGTGAATCCTCAGTAGCACTCAGGTACTTCATGCTGCCATGGGCAAGCTGCAATCATCTTTAGCAAAGCTAATTGTGAGGCCAGCCCAACAGTTCGTTTCTGCTGTACTTATGATGTAAGAAGAGAGACTCTTCCACTCATTCAGGTAGGTCCCAGGATTTGCAGAATTTTGGAAATCCTTGGAAATGTAATCCATCATCCTTTCTACTGTAAGCACCAAAGACCTGATGGAGTTTGCCACTTCAATAAGATATGTGTCTGCTCATCATTAGATGAGTGCCAGATTTTACCATGAAAAAACATGATACTATGAAAAATGAAAGTAGCAATGTGTTGAATCAAAAGGAAATTAATATCAAATAATTGGCATATATATATATATATATATATATATATATCAACTGTAAGCTGATGTTTTTCAAACAGTATTTCCAAATGGCTCAGAGTCCCTAGCATAGTGAATTTGGGGTATATGGATATAGTTGTACCAACTGAAGAAATTCTTCCCTTCAAACAGATCATCTAGGAGCTGTGCTTTTTTGCCTATGTGACCCTGGGCAAGACATTTGAGACTCATCTACAGAAAAGTTCATGAATTTTCTGTGGAGATTAAAGGGTATAGCACACCTGGAGTATCCAGTCCACTCTTCCAGGGTCCTGCAGATGTCCACACAGTAGCTCCTTCCATAGTAGGCATGCACTGGTACTTAGGAGTACTTGAGGTTCACTAATTCTAGGGCTATGGTAATCATTTAACAAACTCCTTTTCTGCCCTCCATGAAGTTGAGGGTATTGTTCCACTCATTTTATGATGGTCAACTAGAGATCTGTGTCATGAACTCTTACAAACACATAGAAGAATGTGGCAATGAAAGTATTTTTGGACAGTCGCCAATTTTGATACTACTTGTCATGAAATAAAGACATGATTATGATTTTTAAAGATTTTCAGTGTATAATTATGATTAGAAGTATAAGAAACATGTTTATTATCTATTTTAAAATTTTATAAGAGATATTAGCTCTTCTATGCATAGGTGATGAGCTTTAAAGACAAGAACATCCATGAAAAAATATAGTAGTTGCTTGTAGATGTGTTCATGGAAAGTACACACCTACAAAGAAATATGTTTTGTTTTTTAAATTTATGTGTATTTTATGTTTCTATTAAAAATGTCACTTTCACAAAATTTTATATTACTTTGGTTATTTTTAAAGGTTGATTTAGTTATTTGAAGGAGAGAGGGAGAGTCAGGGAGAGAAAGACAGTTCTTCCATCCTGTGGTTCATTCCCCAAGTAGGCACAATAACCAGGGGTATGCAGCTGAAGCCAGGAACCAGAAACTCCATTCCAGTATCCTATGTGAGTGACAGAGGCTGAGTCCTTGGGCCATCCTTGCTGCTATCCCAGGCACATTAGCAGGGAGCTGGATCAGAAGCAGAGCAGCCAGGACTCAAATGGGCACTGCAAAAGTGGCTGCCATTGTTGTAAGCTGCAGTTTAACCCACTGCACCGCAACGCTGGCCCCTGCTTCTGTTATTTTTAAAATGATATTAATTAGCACTATATTTGTGGTAAATTTAGTATTGTCATTCCAACTCTAAGAAAAAGTGACTTCTGAGTTCTAAATAATTTGAGAGTTTTAAAATTCAGAATGAGAAGCCTAATAGGAGATTAGTAGTCTGTAAAACAATCTGAGTGTCCAACTACAAATCAAATTTAAAGAAAATATCTTCATCAATTTTCTGTTGCACTCCAGCTATAGACTATTCTAGGCCGTTGCCTGAGGAAGGTACCTGGCTGCTGCTTGAGCCAGTGCCTCAGTGGACACCACACCTGGATCAAGTTAGGAGATAGGCTAAATTTTGCTGTAAGAAAAAGCAGTTTTTAGAAAAGCAATGAAAGGAAGTAGAGTGGATCCAAGTGATCAGAATAGCACAGGCTGGACAGTAGCTATTTATAATGTACTTTTCTAAGTTGTGCTCAAATTAAAGTATTCTAAGACGTTGTACAAAATTTACCAAAACCATCTATGATTAGTCTAAATTCTCATGTCATCTCCCCCTCATGTTTTTTATTCAGGAATCAATGCAGTTATATGTACCATTAAAAATACACTTGGAGAGAACAGAGTAAACCATTAATTACCGTTCTAATTGTTGAAAAGGCCGCTTAACTTTTAGACTGATTTATTATATGTTTCAAAATAACATCAGACAACTTTGTAACACAAAAATGACAAAGGATTACTTAAGCTAAATATATTTTCTACTTTTGGTTATCAAAATTCTAAGATAAAAGTTCTTTATAATGTTACAATAATATATTCCTAACGGAGTTGAAGCAAAGTTTTCAGCTTCTATTCTTTTCTAATCTTAAAGAGTACTTCAAATGTTTCTTGGAAAATGAAATTAGGAAGTTTATATTTATGAAAACATTTTGGAATCCATGCACAGGTTTTTGTACATGAATTTTCCTGAAATTTTTGAAAATGCTTCATTTTTATTGTACCTTACACTCATTTTTTATGCCTAACCCCCAAACTGGCACTTAGTAAATAATTACTGAACTTGTAAAAAAAATTAGCTAAATGATCCTTGATTAATAGTGTCATTAATATTATACTCTGAGTGCTAGTAATCTAGAAAAGTTCTCAGATTATTTTAGCCTTGCCATCACTATGCCTTGTTTACAATGGGATTATATTTTAAGTTGTCTCCAACTCCAGTGTACCTATGGAGAAGTGAAACAGCATTACAGCATTGTAACTGCAACCAGGGGACTCCAAGTCCCAATCAAGTTCTGAATTTAGCTTTGTCACTCAGTAAGCATGTCACTTGTATAAGTGACAGGTTCTGGGAGTTTCAATTTTCTTCATCCTCAAGATTGGAAAAATAATGATGACATTAATATTTCAGCAGGACACAAAGTGACTGACACTGTGCTAAAGAGACTGTTGGTGTCCACAGCTTCTGGAATTGGGGGTGGGGGGGGTGGGGTGGGTAACACAACAGGATCCCTAACACAGCACTTAGCGATCAGAAAACGTTGCATTACTGAATGTGTAGGTGGCAGTGTTACCAGCTGGGATCAGCAACCCATTAAGATGACTAGAAAGCTTCTCCAGCTACAGATTTCTCTCCTCTTTGTAGCTTGCCGCTGTAACGTCAATGGCTCCTTCTCTGACGTCTGCCATGCTCAGACTGGACAGTGCGAATGCAGGCCCAACGTGCAGGGGCGGCGCTGTGATGAATGCAAGGTAAGGAGCAGAAGCTGCCCTGAGAATTTCTTCTTCCTTGGAAGTTTCCTCCAGCTTTCAATGCCATGCTTTGCACAGCTTAGTATATTAAAAGAAGAATTCAGAATTCCATAACTCTACAGGTGAAATAACTGTGAGCAGTGCAATGTTTTCTCAAAATAGGGCTAAATATCCAGTACATTGGCGATGACTTGAAAGCCACATTTCTTTGACGGTGAATTTCTGTACTGTTTGCTTTGATTCAGATGTTCCTTAAGCAGCTAACATATAAATTTAACCCTATTATTCCTTTGCCTTTATATTTTGACACTAAAACGTGTCACTTCCTTTTCTTTTGGCGAACATCTTTTTCTGATTCTGCCACTTAAAAGTTATATCAAGTGGGCACGCTACTCATTTTCACATAAAAAGCTAATCAGAGTATATTTGGCTATATCATTTTGCTAAAATACAATGTTCAATTAAGTATTATGATTATTGATCGCCTGCCTTTAGTAGAGCAAGCATCTTTAGATTCCTCCATGGCAGTGGATGGATTTGCATTAAAATTCATTTTATTGGTAATAAAGCTGTGAAGCAGAAGCCAGCATTTCCCAGATGTCAAACTGGCCTTTCTGTAGGACGTTTCAAAATATCATCTGTTCAAGCCTACCTCCTCTCTATGCCGTATGCTCTTTGTTGGTTTCATTTTCATTTTATTTTTCTGTTGGCTTTTAAAGCCCAACACGTGGTGGGACCCAGAGAAGCGATTCTGTGTGCCGTGTGCCTGCAATCCCGTTGGCTCTGTGTCGCCGCAATGTGACAATACAGGAAGATGTGTCTGTAAATCAGGCTTCGTAGGGAGCCAGTGCAACCTCGGCAGGCAGGTGCACCGACAGGAGGAGCAGCCACGGAGACCCCAACGGGTGCTGGGGTCTCCCCAGAGGTGGGGTTCCAGCAGCTCCAGCGGGTGTCCGCGGGGAGCCTACCGCGCCCCAGCTCCGGTAATCCCAAAGGCACTGCATGACTTGTGCCTCAGCATGTTGTGTTCTGTGTGCTGCCGCAGCTGAAGTTCCCCCGTGGCATTTCACTAAATAACAGTTGCTAAATGTGCAAACTGCAAATGCAGAAATTAGACACTTCCTGATTGAGGCGTTGCCTGTTTGCAAAAAAAAGAAGGAGAAAAAGAAGGAAGGAAGAATCAATCCCTGGCTATACTTGCAGAATAACAAGAGGCACGATTTATCAGTGTGTAGATTCGGGACCTGTGGAGACAGGAGGGTATTGAAGAAGGAGAGAGTGAAGTGAAAAGTAAAGAAGACAAGAAAATTCATGATGTGCTTTATTTCACTATCACAAATTCTAAGAAAATAGATTCTGATATCTGACGGCATCAGGCCAAACCCTAGTGTCACTTCTCCCTAGCTGGAGATTCCTAGACTGATTCTATAATTCAGCTTTTTCAGTTGCGGTAGGATATTCATCATAGGGTTTTCGGCTACAGATACGAAGAGACTTCCTGTGGGCAACCCCTGAGAAGGTTGAAAGGTGAGAGAGGGAGTAGCGTGCAGGGGCTCCAGCTACAATGACTGACAGCTGGAGTGGGAAAGAGACAACGTCTGGGTAGGGAAAGCTTCAGTCGGTGCACTCGGCCAGAATCTCAAATGCGCGGCCTGGCCTGTGCAAAGTTGCCAAGCAAAACTTGCCCATTCGAGGAATCCTGAGTTGGTGCCTTGCTGTAATCAACCATTGACTGGGAAAAGTGTTGAAGAACTGTGAGCCAGCATGAGCTTGACTTAGTCCAGTGCAGCTGCTATAACAGAGTGACATAGACTGAGTGAGTTCCTGTCTGTTCTGGGGGTAGGGAGTCCAGGACGGAGGCACTGGCAGATTCTCTCTCTGGTGAGAGCCTGCTGCCCCTCACTGTAACCTGGCAGCCTATCCCTCTGGGCGCCCTTTTAGTAACCCACTATTCTCATTTATTGAGGCCTTTACCCTCACTCCATCATCCCCTAGCAAAGGCCTGTCCTCTTTTGCAAGTGCCATCGCTTTGGACATAAGCGTTGAGGGCATTGAGAGCTCCTTCAGTGCATTCAAAAGATTGGCAGCTGGAGGCTGGCAGTCATCAGCACTCCACACTGTGGGATCTCTGCTAGGGAGAGATCGGGGGGGTGGGGAGGGGGCTGGCAGTCATCAGCACTCCACACTGTGGGATCTCTGCTAGGGAGAGATCGGGGGTGGGGGTGGGGTTGGCAGTCATCAGCACTCCACACTGTGGGATCTCTGCTAGGGAGAGATCGGGGGTGGGAGGGGGGGTTGGCAGTCATCAGCACTCCACACTGTGGGATCTCTGCTAGGGAGAGATTGTGGGGTGGGGGTGGGGTTGGCAGTCATCAGCACTCCACACTGTGGGATCTCTGCTAGGGAGAGATCGGGGGAGTGGGGAGGGGGCTGGCAGTCATCAGCACTCCATACTGTGGGATCTCTGCTAGGGAGAGATCCAGGGTGGGACGGGGGGTGGGGGTGGGGAGGGCTCCTTCCAGGCCTCGGCAAGAAAATAGAACAGTATATAAGGCACAAGCATGGAGCATTCTTAGTAAATGGCAGATTTTAGTACTTTTATATTTTGTTTTTGAGGTGAATTATTTATTTATTTTGGAGGCAGAGTTACAGACAGAGGGAGAGACAGAGAGAGAGGTCTTCCATCCACTGGTTCATTCCTCAAGTAGCCACTGTGGCCACAGCTTGGCCACTCTGAAGCCAGGAGCTTCTTCCTGGTCTCCCACATGGGTGCAGGGACCCAAGCACATGGGCCTCCTTCTGCTGCCTTCCCAGGCCCTAGGCAGAGAGCTTGATCAGAAGGAGCAGCAGCTGGTACTTGAACCAGCACCCATATGGGATGCCAGCACCACAGGCAGAGGCTAAACCCTCTAGGCCACAGTGCCAGCCCCATGGATAATCTTACTGCTGTTATTAAATGAAGAAACCTTAGAAATATTTATTTATTTATTTATTAAAGATTTATTTGTTTAATTTGAGAGGTAGAGTGAGAGACAGAGAGAGGGAGGAAGAGACCCAGAGAAAGTTCTTCCATCTGCTGGTTCACTCCCCAGATGGCCACAACAGCCAGAGCTGAGCCTATCCAAAGCCAGGAGATGAGCTTCTTCCAGGTCTCCCATGCGGGTGCAGGGGCCCAAGGACTTGGGCCATCTTCCACTGCTTTCCCAGGCCATAGCAGAGAGCTGGATCGGAAGTGGAGCAGCCAGGACAGTAGCTGGTGCCCATGCGGGATGCTGGTCAAACAGGCCAGAGGCTTAGCCCGTTATAACACAGTGTGGACCCCAGAAATTATTTTTTCTGCCTCAGTTTCACAACCTTGTCAATGACAAAACAAATAAGAACGCTCACAGTAGCAATTATCTGCCAGGATCGTCCTGAGGAATAAAAAGAGTTCGTATTTGTGAAGGGCTTCAGAGCAGTGCTTGGCACATAGGAAACATAGTATCTGAATTCTAGAATGTGTTATTACCCCAAGGGAATAGAATTTATGGGAGCTCATCCATCTTCCCACTGGGACTGGACAGGCACTCTCTCTCATGCTTGTTGTACCTCATTAATCTCAATTACTGCCTGGGAACATTTGCTCCTTAAATTTGTTTACTAAGGTTTTCCTCGTGTTTCAAAGAGATTTTTGAAGAACAAAGTTATGAATATTTTATTACTGAAATTTGGTAGTGTTTATTTTGGTATAACTTAGATTTTAAAGCTATGTTATTTAAAAGAAAAGTATAATAGAAAGATTTCTGCTAGTATATTTTCTTACAGTATCAACTTTAGAATTCTTACTGATAACTGGGATTTGCATATTTGTTTAATATTGTATTTACTTTCTCATTAAAGGTGTATGTGCATACATGAGAATACTTCAAAAAGTTCACGGGTTTCTTGCATTTGGCCTAGTGGTGAAGATTCTATTATGATGCCTGTATCCCAAAACAGAGTACCAACTCCAGCTCCTGGCTCCAGCTTCCTGCTGATGTCGATAGCAGGAACAGCAGTGATGGCCCATGTGATTGGGTCTCTGTCATCCTTGCGGGAGACCTGGATTTTGCTCCAGCTTCCGACTTCATTCCCAGCCCCTCCCCAGACAGGCATTTGGCAAGTGAAACAGAAGATGGGATTTCTCTATCTACCAAAAGTTTAAAAAATGTTTTTGAAAGTTTTTAGGAAAATTGTATTAAAAGATAGTTTGTTTAAAAATTTTTTTGAAATCCACCTGCAATTTTATTAATACAAAATTTTTAAGAATTTTTCATGTATGCTCATATATATGTATATATACACATATATACCAATATGCAATATCTATACATTTATATGTATATATATGCTAAATGAAGAAAGTTTAGAAAATAAGCATGAATGCAAAGGATTACTTTTAAAATTCAGAGTTTAAAATATTGCCTTATTCTAGTCTGTTTTCTATGTACTCATATGGATATAAGTTTCTATTTGTGCATGTCTAAGCAATATCTGTGTCATTATAAATTATCATATGCATGTATTATGGAAATATATTTATAATTTTATATTCTCTTTAATATTTTTCTTAATGTTATATCCTGTGCATGTTCATATCATTGAATTGCTTTAAAATGGAATTTTATTATTGAATATCATTTCATAGTATGACTATCATAATTTATTCAACTATTTCTCTAATATGAACATCTAATTGGTTGATTGTTACTATGATAAACCATATTTACTGGGCATGCTTGAGCTCTAATTGTCCTAATTTCTTATTAATTATGCCAAGTAGCTAGAATTTTACATTAAATTGTCTTTTTGGAATAAAAATGTGTATTTAGCTCTATATAGGTAATTTTAATTAAAAATCATGTCATTTGTTAGAACAGTTGTAAATTTTCTTCTTAAATTATATAATGAAATCTGAATTAGAACTAGAAATAAAAATAAAACGAGTAAATATAAAGATCAAAATGATTATCAAACTCAGCCCATTTTACTTTAAAAAATAAAACTATTCTTAACTATAATCATTTTGAAAGTAATTTTCAGTGTGATTTTGTTTTTTAGAACTTATTTTAATACTGCTAACAATAGGAGCAAAAATATATGAGGCTTAATTCATTTCTCTTTGGGAAGCTCACATTAAGTGGCAAGATTTATTTTTACCAAGAAGTAATTATTAGGACTAATTTTCTAAAATAGAAATTATTTTTATCAATAAGTAATTACTGAGACTAATTTTCCAGATTAAAATATCATATTAATATGATATCTTTAAACAGACAACACTGATGTATTTTAAGAAAGATATGTGCTTTTCAATTTTGTAATAGGAATGATTTTTTGATCGACGGCATTTTCTTTTTTTAAAAAACATTTATTTATTTATAAGTCAAAATTATGTGTGGGGGAGGGATAGAGGAGAGGAGATCTTCTATCCACTGTTTCATTCCCCAGATGGGGGCCCAGATAAAGCTGCTGGCTCCTGCCTTCTGCCTTGGCTATTGCAGCAATTTGGAGAGTGAACCAGCTGGTAGTAGAGTTTCTCTCCCTCTCTCCCTCTCTCCCTCTCTCCTTCTCTCCCTCTCTCCTATCTCTGTAACTCTGTCTTTGAAATAAATAAATCTTTAAAAAAGGCCTCGTTTGTCCAGTGTAGGCATATCCTACAGACACTGTATAGACAGTTAGAAGATTTTATGAAAAAATGAAACATAGATCAAATATTAGGGGAAGAGGGTATTTGAATTTAGGTTGCAGGTCATTCATTAATGAGGAAGGCGTTTGTACCAGGTTGAAAGAGTGCAAAGGAAGAGGCTGGTGCTGTGTTGTGTGGGTTAAGCCACAGCCTGCAGCACTGGCATCTCCTATGGGCACCAGTTCATGTCCTCGCTGCTCCACTTCTGACCAGCTCCCTCCTAATGGCCTGGGAAAAGCAGCAGATGATTGCCCAAGTGTTTAGGCCCCTGCCACCCATATTGGAGACCTGGGTGAAGCTCCTGGATCTTGACTTCAACCTCACCTTTCCCTGGCTGTTGCAGCCATCTGGGGAGTGAAACAGCAGATGGAAGTGCGCTCTCTCTCGCTCTCTCTCTCTCTCTCTCTTTCTCTTTCTCTCTTTCTCTTTCCTTCTCTTTCTCTTTCTCTTTCTCTCACTCACTCTTGCTCCCTCGGTAACTCTTTCAAATCAATCAATCAATCTCTATTTAAAAAAAAAGGATCTAAAAGTCATCAATTCAGATGATTAGAAATGAAGCAAGTATAAAGTCAGTTGTAAGAAGTGCACATATCTTATTTCTACACTGCTGGTAGCACCTTGGGAAAAATGGGGAATGGCCTATTAAAATGTTATAGACAGAAAAATTATGCTGGGTCCAGTATTACAGTGCAGTGTGTTAAGCTACTGCTTGTGACACCAGCATCCCATATCAGAGTTAGTTTTAAAATCCCACAGCCCTGCTTCCCATCCAGCTTCCTGTTAATGTGCCTAGAAGGCAAAGGATGATGAAACTAGTACTTGGGCCCCTTCCACACATGGGAGAGAGCAGGATGAAGTTCCTGGCTTCAGCCTGGCCCAGCCCTGGCTGCACTGTCCAGTTGGAGCATGAACCAGTAAATGGAAGCTCTCTTTTGCTGTCTCTTCCTCTCCTGCTCTCTGTTGCTTTGCCTTTCATATAAATAAATAAATCTTTTTTAAAAAAAGATAATGCCTAATTCTTTAATGAAATTTGAAAGTAATTAGACTTTTCTCTTTGACAATCATGGAACAGTACATCTAATTAAATGATAACCCAATTGTCATAACTGGTGAAGAGCCCTGATAACCCATCAATTCTCTTTTCCTAACTGATCTCTTAGAATTGTGGATCTTGTTTCATTGTGCCTCAAATGGTTTAAATTTATTTTTCTCCATTTTTCACTTTCTTCCTCTTTGCCAGCGTGAAACCTTCGGCCTGCAATCGGGAAGGGGCTGTGTTCCCTGCAACTGTAATTCTTTCGGATCTAAATCATTTGACTGTGAAGAGAGTGGACAGTGTTGGTGCCAGCCTGGAGTCACAGGGAAGAAATGTGACCGCTGTGCCCATGGATATTTCAACTTCCAAGAAGGAGGCTGCATAGGTCTGTGCAAAGGGACTGAGTCCTGTGTATTTCTTCTGTGTTTGTGATGTCTTTGCTTCTGTGAGAGTGCATTTCACTTAAAGAAATGCACCTTCACAATACATGGGTACTTCAGACAGTTCATAGGAAAACAGAATTAAAAGATTCCTTATTTGGGTGCAGGAAATGTTGAAACCTGTCTATAGTTGTTCATAATGTGCATGTCCCATGAAGGTTTTAAAGATTTATTTAAAAAGCAGACACACACACACACACAACAACAACAACAAATCTTCCCATACACCAGTTTGCTCCCCAAGTGCCCGCAGTAGTTGGTACTGAGTCAGGCCAAAGGCGGGAACTTGGAACTCGATCTCGGTCTACCAGCTAGATGGCAGGGACTCAGCTACTTGAGCAATCCCCACCTGCATCCCAGCACACCGATAAAAAAGAAGCTGGGTCTCACCCTCGGGCACTCTGCTATGGAGTATAGGCATACCTGCTGCACCAATCGCCTGACCCTTCATGGACTTTTTTGAAGATCCCTCATATGTAGTGCAGATTATTTAGTGAATACTGTGTGTCTATCTTGAAGTTAAGTAAGAAATGAAATACATTGCAGTAGCAAGGAAACACTGCCCTAAAAATAACCATGCTTGCAAGAACTCAGTAAATACCCGTGTGCAGATCCTGATTCTGTAGTGTCAGTCACTCCATGGTTATGGCTGACTAGAAGTTGTAGGTTCCATTTTTCTGCTGTCAATATTATCTTTGTTGGAACTCTATTCCCAAGCTACTACATTCAACTTTTCCTATTGCAAAATGTGTATGAGGATCGAGGAAGTTAATATATTTTTCTGGTACGAGAGAAGTGTTTTTGTCGCCTTCCAGCTGCCTTGAAAACGGTCCTGTTCTCAGAGAAAAACAAGTTGGCTCTAGGTTTTTAGTTCATGGGGCAATGCAAGCAGGGCTTTCTTGGCTCACTCCAAAAGTGGCATTCGCATACGCCCAGCTACAGCCTTCCCAATCATGAACTAAGAAAACAATTAGCACACTTCAGAAGGAACTGAAGATCAAGCATTGGCCTTGATTTATGTGTCACTAAGTTAGGCTTGACCTTAACCCAACAATCACCAGGTGGAAAATTACCTTTGCTTTCTAAAATCATCGATTTGGCCTTCATGTTACTCCGATATTCTCAGAGCCATTGTAAGATTTTAAAACATTATTGACTATCATAGCAGGTTTACGTGAGAAGCAGTGGGGAAGATGTTTAAAATTATTTCATGGGCAATATCTTTCAGATAGTCTCCAAACTTGAGAGAGAGGGTTTTTATTGTAAACTAAACCATTACAAGTTATTCAGAGTGTCATCATTGTAACTTCCCTAAGCATCAGTATACTGTCTCTAATCCAAAAATCTGTATATTCTAAAAACTGAGTTGCATTTTATAATGTTTAAAATAAAATACTCTATTCTCTAAATCCAAACCTCTTATTTTTACTTAATATAAAGAAACAATGTTATAAACTCAAATATATTACAAAAATGTAAGTGGAGCCAAAAATGTTATTTAAAAGTTTGAAATCGCGATAACATCGCAGAAATGCAGACCCGGTAGCATTCTAACCCGGAGAATCAGAAGAGAAAAGAAGCACAAAACAGGCAGAGTAGCTTTATGTATGAATTGTACCAAACAGCCTGGATTTATCCAGCGGCTTCATCAGCAACTGGTTTTGTGAACTCGACTGAGTGATTTGGCTTCATTTTCCCTCTGCAAAATGCATTTGTTAGATTAGAAAAACAGGAGTTATCTACGTCATAGGGGCTCTGTAAGAGTTAGTTGAGTTAATGGCTATCAGACATTTAGAGTAAGGGCTGACTTGTAAGTGCTGTGTGTTTATCATTATTATTTCTAATAGGAATATTAACCATGGTAAACATTGCACTTTGGCAGGGGAAACTAGCTAATTATCTGGGTCTTCTTCCTGCTCCTTATTATGATTCCACTGAAGAACTACTTAGAGAATTTCTATTTGCCAGTAATGATTCAAACTGTTGCAAGACATGTTTTAGCACATAAATTTAATCATAATGCTAACTACTTTTCTTCTTAATGAACAGCACATATAAAATAAATCCTTTGGTTTAAAATTACCACCACCAACAATAATAACAAAAACAACGACTAACATTTATCTGGTGCTTACCCTAAAAGCAGCATCCTGCTAAACATTTTTCACAGCTCGTATGGAATGCTGTAAACAGTGATAATTGTGATCCCTTAAAAAGACAACTTAATCAAATACCTTAATATATTCCATTAAAACAATTTAATCATAGAACCAATTAGGTTTCTTATAACATTTGTCTTCCACAAAAATTCAAGAATTTGCTGTTTCTTTTCCTACTTTGATATGAAATTGTACACTAAAATAAACTATTAGGAGCAGGCCTTAAGCATAACAGTTAAGACATTGGTTAATGCGCCAGTGACCCACATCTGAGCACCTGGGTTTGGTACCCTGCTCTGGCTCCTAAATATGGCTTCTTGGTAATGCAGACCCTGGGAGACAGCAGTGATAATGCAAGTAACTGGGTTTCTGCCATCTCTGTGGGAGACCTTGCTGCAGACTTTGGACCTAAGTAGTCCTCGCATTGTCAGCATTTGGAGAGTGCCTGGGGTCTTGATTGCTCTGTTTCTCTCTGCCTGTCAAATGGGGAGGTTAAACATGATTAGAATGAAAATTGAAAGCATATCATTATAAAAAGTGAAAGAAAAATAGAAAAGAAGGAGGAGGGAGAATGGGAGTGAAGAGGGGAGGGTACAGTGAGAAGTATTGTTATGCTCTTATATGAAATGCATAAAATTTTTACCTTTATACAAAAGTTCTTAAAAATGTAAAAAAGTACTTTCTTGAAAAGTAAAACAAAATACACTCTCAGTAGCTAAGTCAACAAAAATAGTAAATTGCTAACATTCTTTGATCAGCATTGAATAGATTCTCAAACTTTATTTTTCCATTCTTTAAAATGTGTAATATTGCATAAGGGTTAAGAAAATAAAATATTGAAATAGGCCTTTGATAAAATTTTTTAAGAATTTTAACATGTAGACAGTATCTGTAATTCTATTATTTGAAAAACTGAAACATTCTCATGTGCCATTTGTAAAAGTATGTATATTTGATGCATTTCATTTAAGAAGCTTATTAAGCTTATTGGCTTTTATCACAAATCAAAGTCATCAATAAGACAAAAAGATGAATACAGCACAGAAAAGTAAGTGCTGAATTTACATATGCAAATTTTAAGCTTTATAATATCTGGATACAAGGTATTACATTTAACAGGAAATTTGATAGCATCCATTCTTTCCACCCTTAAAATTCATAGGAAACCTAAAAATACTTGAACTTTTGAAATTATTAAATGAAACACAATGTTCATTTATTGATCAAATCCTCTGTGATATATCCTGTAACTTTTTATTTCCAAGGATCTTTAATGTAAAGAAAATAAAACAACACAATCAAAACAATATAAAACTCAATATTTTATATCCAGTGTTTAATATTTTCACTCTTGTTTCCCCTGTTGTGCTTTTGAAGCCTGCGACTGTTCCCACCTGGGTAATAATTGTGACCCAATAACTGGTCGATGCATTTGCCCTCCCAATACCGTTGGAGAGAAATGTTCTAAATGTGCACCCAACACCTGGGGCCACAGCATCATCACTGGCTGTAAGGTGAGTGAATCACTCTATTCATCTGATTTTTTTTTTTAGAGTTTTATTTTGGTAGAAGAGAGCATTTCAAAATCCAAATTATATCACAAAAACAATATAAGATACTGATCTGTGTCTTAGATTTTAATCATAGGAAAGATGATTAATTAAATATACATGTATGCAACCCTCCATGAGACCTAAAAGAAAATAACAGTGAGGAAAATCAAATTCTGTAACCCAAAATAGCTGTAACCTCATACCTAGACACACTGAAATATATCTGAAAAGTGTACTACAATGAAATGAGGAGGTAATTACAGGAGTTTTCCGGAAGTAGTTGAAGGAATTCTGAAGTTATGTTTACAACACTGAGCTCGGGAAAAACTCCTCAGTTTTTCTCCATGGATGGACCATGGAAAATGACTCAGCGAGACTCCAGATTGAAGAAATTATCCAGCAGCAGAGGTGGAAGTACCAGTTTACAAGGCTTTGATGAGATTCTGATGAGAGCAGCTGAAAGCCTGGATCCAATCGTGGGGTCTCCATGAGGAGCTGGGAGGGTTGATGCACTCGTAGACTGATGGGCAATCCACAAGGCTAAAGATGACTCCCAGCTAGGGCTTGACTGCAGAGTGGATGATGATGGCATCGCTTGATGCCATGGTTTATGGGAGGAGGAGCAAGTTCAGGAAGAAATGGTGAGGAATTCAAGGTGTTCTCCTGATCACCTTTTTGTGAGGTATTAATTAAAAGAAATGTACCCATTTAAAATGATGTTTTCACCATTGGTTACAGTTTTATAATCTCCTTTGTGCCCCTATACACAGGCTTTTTTACCTTCTATCACTGTAGTTTTATCATTGCTAGAACTTCATATATTTGGTGTTTTTTTTAAAGGTTTATTTATTTATTTGAAAGAGTTACACAGAGAGAGAAGGAGAGGCAGAGAGAGAGAGAGAGAGACACAGAGAGAGAGACAGAGACAGAGAGAGAGAGAGAGAGAGAGAGAGAGAGGTCTTCAATCCACTGGTTCACTCCCCAAAAAACCACAATGGCTGGAGCTGTGCTGATCCGGACCCAGGAGCCAGGAGCTTCTTCCGGGTCTCCCATGCAGGTTCAGGGGCCCCAGGACTTGAGCCATCCTCTACTACTCTCCCAGGCCATAGCAGAGAGCTGGATTGGTAGTGGAGCAGCTGGGTCTCAAACCTAACTGGCACATATGGGATGTCGGCACTGCAGGTGGCGGCTTAACCTGCTACGCAACAGCTCCAGCCCAACTTCATATATTTAGAATCATTCTCTGTGTTTTTGTTTTGGGGTTGGTTTGTTTGCATTGGACTTGGCTTTCTTCTACTTTAATGCTTTTGCAATTCACTCATGCTGTTTCTATACCTGTAATTTGTTCTTTTTAATTTCTTCATAATGTTTCATTGTTTGATATGCTATTATCTACTTACCTGTTACAATTTGATCAACCTTTGAATCATTTCTACTTTGGAGTTATTATGAATAATTTTGTTATGGGCATCATTGTGTAAGTCGAAAGTATTTTTGCAGACTTGTTTACATTTCTCTTTCAAAAACATTCCAAATCTTTACCAACACTTGGGTTTATAAGTCTTTTTAATTTTAGGAATTCATATTTTTTACATTTCTCTATACACAATGATGTTGGGAATCATTTATTTATAATTCATGAAGCATTTATAAATCTTTTCCCTATTTTATTATGGCTTGCTTATTTTCTCAGTAATGAGTTCTAAGAGTTCTTAATTCTACATACAAGTCCTATGACATATATATGTGTATATATATATATATATTCCAAAACTATATGTCTTCCAGATGATGGCTTGTCTTTCACTTCACATCCTCATCTAAATTTTAGAAATAATAGTTTTTTATCTCTGTGTTCTGGCTCATGGTTTTTGTTTCCTATGTAAATATATCTGCCTGAGTCACTGCCCAAAGATTTATTCTGTATGTTTTCTTCAAGTTTTACATAGGTATTAAATTGAGGTCCTGTTCCATTTTTAATATTAATTGGTATTTGGTATGAAATAATGGTCAAAGTTCACTTTTTCATGGATATTCAATTTTTTTCAGTGTCATTTGTTCAGAAGACTATCCTTTTCCCATTGAATTACTTTCATTCCTTTGTTAAAATCAATTATATGTTGATACGTTTCTGGACTCTCTCTCCTGTTACTTTTGTGTATGTCTTTTTCCTCTAATAATGTAAGGTATTGATTACCTTTCTAGCAAGGCATGAAATGACATATTTCAAGATTTCCAAGATTACCTTTTAGATGATTTAGATCTGGTTCAGTTCCATAAAAATTTTCAATTCATCATGCCATTTTTTCCAACCAGAAATCCTGCTAGGATTTGATTAGGATTGTATTGAGTCTCTAGATCTGCTTGGGAAGAATTGACAACAATCTGGTATCTTCTAGTGCGTGAACATAATATAACTTTGAATTTATTTAGGTATTGATAATTTATCTCAGTTATGTTTTATAAATTTGGTATGCAAGCCTTGCACAAATACTGTTAAATATAGCAGTGTCTCATATTTTAATGCAAAGGTGAATGCTGTTTCATTTCAGCTTTTAATTTTTCCTTAAATACAAAAATACAATTATTTTTATATTTAGCCTTCTGTACTGTAACATAGATTGATTTTGGTAAATTCATTGGGACTTTCTACATAGATAATCATGTCACCTACAAATAGAATTTTATTTCTTACTTTTTTAATTATTTATTTTGACAGGCAGAGTGGACAGTGGGGGGGGGGGTGACAGAGAGAAAGGTCTTCCTTTTTCCATTGGTTCACCCTCCAATGGCCGCCGTGGCCAGCGCGCCATGGCCAGCGCACCACGCTGATCCGGAGTCAGGAGCCAGGTGCTTCCTCCTGGTCTCCCATGCGGGTTCAGGGTCCGAGCACTTGGGCCATCCTCCACTGCACTCCTGGGCCACAGCAGAGAGCTGGACTGGAAGAAGAGCAGCCAGGACAGAATCTGGTGCCCCGACCAGGACTAGAATCTGGTATGTGTCGCTCCCCCTCTTCGTGGAGGAACGACACAGGGCCCTGCGCTGTTCTTTCGTCTGCTCGGCCCTCCCCGGGTTTGCTGCTGGTTCTTCCCGGGTTGGCTACTATCCCTTCCACCTCCGTGGAAGGGCAGTTCCCCCTGGCCACATTCCCCACTTCCGCAGGGGAGCGGCACACCGCCGGCCGGCTCTCTTGGGGGCTGCACGGGTGTTCCTTCAGCTAGATGTTCCCCATAGATGTTCCCGGTGCATGCCGTCTCTCTCCTCCTTTATAGTCCTCCTCCGCCAATCCCAACTCGGCTGCCCACACGCCGAGTACGCTGCTCTCCTCCAATCAGGAGCAAGTCCTACAGTTTATTAGCTGAACTGGAGGCAGCTGTGCGGAAGCTGTTTACTTCTCTCCCAGCGCCATATTGTGGGAGAGCAGA